ATTGGCATGCTTGTATAATAGCTGTTGTCGATTCGCAAAGCCTTTGAGAGTACCGAATCGAACAAACCATTGCGCTGTTCAAGCAAACTGGCAACACTTACGTTGCAACACTGCACTATCATATGCTTTAATGCATACATAAGTGCCTGCCGCGTCTTTCTTTGGTGGAGAAATACTTCTTTACACGCCATATAACATTTCAGTAATCCATTAGTTTCGCGCAGTGCCTAGAACTTAGCTTTTTTATAAACAATGATACCATCTAAACGAATTCGACTCGAATTCCATTTAAACTGTGGTCGAAAATCTAATCGATAAAAATTATTCTCCTATATTGGTAGTGGCACAAATGATTCTCTGAAAATCATGAAGCCATCGAAAACTTGACTTATGCGATTCGTCCATTCACCATTAAAGAAAAAATGCTTGAAAATTTTCGTGCTGGCATCAGAGAGATATCAGAGCATCTCAACATCTCTTATGGACCGACTCAACACATTTTGGTTAATGTTTTGGGTATGAAGCGTGTCAATGTTTTGGGTATGAACTCGAACCAAAAGCCCCTAATCTTCTCCCAAACCGAAGTCGAGTAGAGGTTTACAACAAAGCTGTGGACCCTACATTTAACAAAAGCATCATTATTAGTGACGAGACGTAGACTTATGGACGTCAAAACTGTCCAACAATCTAGCGAATGGCGCTGCAAACATTTGAAGAAATGCAAGTGTATGGAAAATTAGATTAAATATTTGATAGTAATTTACCATTTGAGTTAATAACTTTAAAACAACATATTTTAATCTGTAAAATAAAAACTTGCTAGCGTTGAAGAAAGCGTTTACACCACTTTGACGAGACATCCGAATAGTCTTTTGTATTAAATTCAACTCGCTAACTTTTGTTGTTGCTTTCACATTTGTGACAAGAGAACAGCAGTAGCGAGCAGAGACATGATGAAATGAAAGTACTAAGTAAGATCAGATCATCATTTTTTGCTTGAACTGACAACTACATTCACTTGAATTTTTTTTATTAAAATGTGTAATTGACTCGATGTTTAGAATGGAAATTGATAGTTTGAAATTTCCAATTAAAGTGTTTAATGCCTTAGAAAACAAGTCTTATCCCATTAACTTTGTCGTTGCTAGAAAAAGTTTTTTATGTACAATCACTGTGGCCTTTCTAGTCGCACAAATTTTAAGAGAAGCTTTTATTTGTCAGAACTGCAATAAATCATCTCACATAAGTAAGAAATTTGTTTTTGCATAATAATAATCAGCCTAATACACAACAACCTAACTTTTATGCACACATATGAACATACATATAAACATACATACATACAATATGTACCATATTTTCAATGTAACCGTAGTAACCCTGTCAAAACGAGAACAGTCGAAAACGCACTGAGCGTGATAGTCAATTTACTTTTTCGGTAAGTGGCCTAGACATATGGCTGTGTGTGTATTGTGTTTTAAAAGAATTAACGCGGCGCTTGTAAAAATATTCACTTATAAGTACGTGTGTATGTATGTTACTACATATCGACGTTTGAATATACGCGCTGTCATATTTACCAAACTCTTATGAGCTTGGCAGTAATTATGATTAATTTTAATTATGGTATAGTCGTTTTCTCTTTGAGTGGCCTTCATTCAAGGTCATTCGAGTATGGCTATTTGTATTATAATACTCTTACTGCAGTTATAGCTCACAATGCACTCTAATAAATTTGTTTTTGTTTGTATAAGCGTCTGGGCGCTTAGGCACTTCCGCAGCTGTCGTTCATAAAAAAACGGCGCAAATCTGCTTATGTTCTCCTTGTATCCACTCACTGTTTACAACAACGTTTATTATCTGCTTTTCTGCACCGTTATGATCCCGGACGCCTCCGCAAGCGTCACTGAAGAAGCGACTATATACTCGTGCAACCTAATTGCCCGCATTAACCTAGTTTGCTTTTAACGCTTACGTTGATTCCTTTTCGCGCTAAATATCCTTTTACCATTCATGCTATTTCCATTTGCCAGGATAGAGTCGCAAAACATGATTACGCTTAATTGCAACGCATCAGCTTACATGACAGACACGCCGCCACCAACACCTAGTCCATTCAGGCTTGCGCTTCCTCCACTGCTATTGTCGTTGTATTTATTGTTGTTGTCAGCATTATCATTTTTACAACCAAACCCATAAGGTAATCATTTGTTTGTGTTTGGCACGAATGATTTGCCATGCATGCAACCGGACGTCTCTGGCGTGCCGGAGCTGAAAACAAATCAACTGCTGAAAAGAAAAGTCAAACACTCGTGGCGAAGTGCCTAAGTATGAGAGTACGTCTGGTAACTTTTAATTGTCTAATGGTGTGTTGAACTTTGTAAACTAGTTTTTTAATGCAAATCTTTATTATCGCCTTAAAAAGGCTTATTTTGGCTTCTTTTGAACCAATACAAGCGTGCCAACGTTTAATCCAATTTTCTCGGCTGGGATGACTTTTAGTGCTTTCAGCGAATTTTATTTTTTTCGGTTTTGGCTCATTTTTGGAGCGCCATTCGCTACAATGTCAAACAGTTTTGACGTGATATTTATAAACCCACGTCTCTCTACCAGTAATGATACATTTGATGAATGTAGGGTTGTATGTGGTACGAGTCCAGCATTGACACGCTTTATACCCAAAACACTAACCAAAATGTGTTGATCCATAAAAGATGTTAAGATCATCTGATATCTCTGTGAAGCCAACATGACACTTTTTTTAAAATTTTTCGATATTCCCGTCATTAACAGCGGTGGATATACTCGCATATGGCAAGTTTTCGATGACTTCACGACCTTCACTGAATGCTTTATGGCATTCAAGTACTTGCTTTCGTTAAGAAGTAGACTCCCCATAACACTTCTGCAATATTTTCAATGATTTTGTAGCCGTGATTCCATTGGAAATACAAAATTATTTTCATGCAAGCTCGTGGTTAAATTTTTTCCATAGTAAAAATCGCCAGAAAACACTAATTTACATATGGAAATCAAACTTCATACAAACATAAAACACAGTTATACAAATCTAGGAAAAAAATCCAGTCTAGGTCAAATTTGATCAGATGGTATATTGCGCCTTCGATACACAAATTAGTTGGGAACCAGAAATAAGAACCATCTGTTTAAAATATCTTCTATCACGAGCGAGCACTGATTTCGAGTTTAACCTTTCTGAATTGTTGTGTAATCACTTTATTATATTTACTTGGATTTTAAATTCCTTAGAAAAAATCTTATCATTTATAGAAGAATATCTTTTTGATTTATTATAAATAATATTCTCGTTTATTATAAATAATACACGAAGAAAACTCACAGCCTAACAATAATTTTTGTATTTACATATTCCTATTAAATATATAGTTGGCTTATATAAACAAATATTTGGCTGCAAGTGATGACCAGTGGTCCAACAGATAATTCCTTGGCAGCATTAAAAATCAAAATTTATAATATTTGTGCATTTACTTTGTAATGAGTATTTCGGTATAGTGCAAGCAAAACGAACATTAAAATTCATATTATCGTAAAATATTAAAATTATTTTGAAATAACTAATAATTAGAACTGTAATTGCATTATTAAAATATATATGTATATATAATAAACAAATACCTTAATTACTTAACCGCCCCACTGTGCTCATGAATTGGCGGCCAATGCAAAAGTTTACACTTTAAATGTGCTTTCGAGAATCAGCTGTTAAAAAGCTTTAGTGTGAAAATGCCAATACTGCTACCGTTGCTCCAAAACATGTATCTAATGCTGGTGAGTAGAATGGAAAGAGTAACAACGAGTAGAGAGCCACCAGAGCTTTCTTTCTAATGGGTCACACCAACTCATGCGAGTAAACATAAACAAAAGTTGTAATTTTGCATTAGCGAGAGAGATTATTTGGATGCGCTCAAGTCAATAAATAAATGGAAAGTACTTCATAGATATGTAGATACTTACGAATTTTAAAAACAATGAAAATAGACTACTATACGATAAAAGAAATTTTACAAAAGTTTAAAAGAAAATCAATTTAAATTTAGTTACATTACAAATGAAATAGATACACACATACAGATACATATGTATGCATATGCCTATAGAACGATTGGAGCATTAACTTGCCAATTGAGCCTATGCATTTATATACATACATATACATACATATATGAACTAGAAAGCAAAACAAAACACATTATAAATTGTGGGAATTAGGTGCCTTTGTCTGGGCGTCGAGATTGTGCGGTGTGGTGCATTTAATGTTTATATTCCTAACTATTCTACAAAAGTTCACAGTTGCAGTTGAGTATGTATTTGTGTGTATCTACAAGTATACCGACTCTAACGATTTGTCGTTCTCTCAAACGCCATTCGGTACCGTGTTCGTTAACTTATCTCAGATGACTAACACACCGATGTTCATAACTGCTTTTCCAACTAGTTTACAAACGGTAGCGCATTCAGCGTTTCTCAGTTGAGGCCTGCCACGATGTCGGGGGCGCTGTAGTTATTTTTAAAAACTTTGCATATGTGTCCATTTTTAGAGAATGAAATACAAAATGGTATCTGTTACAGTTTACATTATCAAGATTCAAAACATTTTCTATCTGATGCACTTGACTATTGGCGGGCAATTCATAGGCATATTTAGCTGGTGATCATTTAATGATGACATCAACCATAATTTTTATAGTATATTTAATCTTTGCATTATTCGCTAGAATGTACGTATTCATATCTATGAATTTTTGCACCCACAGATGTTTTACGTGGTTTTTTATTTTTTCTTGTACGCATACCCCTTTCGTTTTTCTTTTAATTTCTCGCATCTCGAACATTTTTATTCTTGGCCTGAAGGTCGTCACACAGATTTGTTTTCAATGAATTTACATAAATAAAGGCTAATACATGCACCGACTACAGCTCGTGAGTGTCAAGTAGGCCGACATATAAGACACATCACGGCAAAAATCACTTAACTCTCAATCGTCATGATTTTGACATTTAGATTAAATTTAGAAAAATAATAAATGCACTTAAGCATACTTTAAAGTCTACTTATCTAGCTCCAAACATATAGCTAATAATCTATTAATTTAACACAATATCAATAATTTCGTAGTTCGTTCGTTTATATTTGGTTCTTACAAGCCTTTATAAATATTATATACTTAATTAAAAAAAAAAAAAATGTATATATATATAGTTAGCTCTAATTGTGCTTAACAGCAATATCTTTTATCGATGTTTTCATAACACAATACTTTAATAATACCCGTTCTACAAAGTACAAGTGTTTTTAGAAATGTTTAGATTTTTCTCTCCCATCCCTAAAAGTTCACAACTTCTTCTTCTGTCATACTCCACCGCAACATACTCGTTCATTATTTTCTTAGTTTCCGGCACATCTGGCTTTGTTTGGCCTGGCACGGCGCAGCTGATTTTCTAAATTCCAAAACCTCCGAGGTGGTTGTGGCGCCCCTGTACTCTAAAAAGCCAGCCAGTCAAACAACCAGCGAACGACCTACACAAAAAGCCAGAATACAGACAATTTACGTGTGTTCTCTCGCCTGTTCAGCTGAGTAAATGAAAACGCGAAACGCTCAGCGAGTAGCACGGCAACGTTGGTGGAATATCTAGGGGTGGCGAGCGGTGAGCCATGTAAAATGCTGTAGTATGATTACAACAACAAAACAATAACAATAAACAAGAAAAAAAGCTACGAAAACAGAAACAGCAGTGACTAGTGTATTAGCAGCAGGCACCAAACAGTCAGTGAGCCAGTGAACCAGTGAAGGCAGCAGCGCGCAGCAATTTAGTCTGCATTTGTTTTCTTTGTTTAAAACATTACAAAATTAATTTAGTGCGCAATAGAAATTATTATTCAATTTTTACAATTTCATTTTTACAATTGTCGATGAAAATTACGTCACATACAATCACAAACATTGCATTTGCTTGAAGAAATGAAAAGCGAATAAAACAAAAATATGTGAATAAACAGAATGCTACAAAAGCAAAACGATTTGAAAGAAGTGAAAAAAAAAATATTACAAACGCTATAAAATCTGAAATACATACACAAAAGTCATAAAGGGATTTTCGAGTGCAGTTTCAAACAAAGCGCATAGCGAAAAACGAACGAGAAAAAGTTATAAAACACCAGCAAAAGCCAGCAATTGCCTTCGCCTGGCAGCGAGTGCCCACGAATGCATTTTGCTCATATGTGCCAAAACTCAAGTGTCCACGATTCATCGTACATAGTGGTCGGTGTCGGTAACGATATCGTCGTCGCTGTCGGAGCGAGTGCATGCAGGCGCGGAAACGTTCGGTGGTGGTGTCGGAGTCAGAGCAGCAACAGCAGCAGCCGCAGCGGCTGGAACAGGAAGAGCAGTACTTGTACTGTTAGTCGCAATCGTAGCCACCACATTAGAGGTAGCTGTAGGAGCTTTTATACTCGTTATAGCGTTAGTCGGAGGAGCCTTTGTTTTACGGATACGGGCGCGAGTAAACGTCATCAATATGCCATCACTACTGGAAGCGTTGGAACGAAAATATTTCACTGATTGTCAATTAGAGAATCTAAACGACGACGATGCAGCTGCTGAAACAGAAAAGAGCCTCATATCCATTTATATACCACGTCTGCCACCGCTGGTCAGCGTGCCCGAATTATTGGTATTGAACGACTGTGACATTGACTGTGCGGGCGATTTTGAAGCCATAAAAGAGAAATGTCGCCGCGTGCGCGAGCTAGATCTGGCACAGAATAAGCTGCACGATTGGCAAGAGGTCTTCCACATACTCGAGCATATGCCGCGTGTGGAGTTTCTCAATTTGAGCAAAAACCATCTGGTCGGCCCAATATGCAATCCAACCACCCTACCCACGAACAGTTTAAGGAGCATGGTGTTGAACGGCACATACCTAGATTGGCCATGTGTTGAGGTGTTGTTGGATAATTTGCCATTGTTAGAGGAATTACATCTCAGTTTGAATGACTACAAAGAAGTGCTTATCGATTCAATCGAGTGTGCGAGTGCTGGTGATGAGCGCGAGGATGATGTTGCCGTCAAAGCGGCGCATGCTGTCGTTGACGACGAGGTAACCGAGTGCAACGAGCATAACGACAACAACAAACAAAGTGACTCACACAAATTAACCCTCACAAGTACAACGACAGCAAAAGCAACAGCCGCGGCTATAATCGAAACAGAAACATCAGCAACACCACCACCAACACCCACTTCCCCCACAGGCAGTTGCACTGAGCCGCGTTGTAAGCGCATACAACCACATCGAAAACTGAAAACACTACATTTCACCGGCAATCCCGTTGAAAGTTGGCTCGAAATTTGCCGTTTGGGACGCGTATTCCCCAGCCTCGAGAATTTGGTGCTCGCCGACTGCCCTATCAAAGCCATACAAGCCGATGCGAGTGCCGTTGCGCCAACAGCGGCGGGCGCGAGTGCCACCAATAACAATGACTGCACGACCGTCTGCGAAGAAGACGTAGAAATGTCCAATAAAACGGAATGTCCGCATAAGCATTTCCACAATCTACAATTTCTCAATCTCAGCTACTCGAACATAAGTGCCTGGGATGATATAGATCAGATAGCGAAATTCCCGAAACTGCACAATTTGCGTGTTAAAAACTGGCCACTCTGGGAGCGTCTGGAGTGCACCGAACACGAACGTCGTCAACTGTTAATTGCACGTTTGCCGAATGTTAGTCTACTCAACGGCGGTGGCGTGATCAGCGCTGACGAACGCGAAGATGCCGAACGCGCTTTCATACGTCACTACATGGATAAGCCCGAATGGGAGCGTCCGAAGCGCTATGACGAGTTGGTAGCCAAACATGGCAAACTAGATCCGTTAGTTAACATAAATCTTAAGCCTGAGAAACGCCTAAAAGTATTCATTACCTATAAGGATAAGACGGAAACACGCCTGCTTGACGTCTACTGCACTGTGGGCGATCTGAAGACGCGGTTGGAGAAACTGATCGATTTGCCAGCAAATAAAATGCGTTTGTATTATGTCGATCAAGATTTCAAGGAATTCGGGCCGGAATTAATGAAGTACCCCAATAAGCGACTGTACAGTTATAATATACAAGCGGGCGATGAAATTATTATCGATGAGAAGAAATAGGCGCAGTCGGGCATAACTATTCTAAATACACACACATAAATACACTTAACGACTTTATTGCAGCTGAATATCATGCGATGCTATTAATTATATAGGACAATGTAAATATTTTGTAAAGTTAAAATATGAGTATGTAGTTTTAAAGGTACCTTGTATTTAAAAGGCATGGTAGCAACAACAAACACAAAGCGCTATTTACGAAACAAACTGCTGTGGTACACAAGCGTGCTATATGAATTAATATATACGTACGAATATACATACACATGTGTGTGTGTATGTACGCGTGCGTATGTAATATACAAATAATAATAATAATAAAATAAAAAATGGAAAAAATATAACAATTTTTTATTTCTTTGTTTTATTTTTTATTGCTTCGCATAATTGATCAGTTTTAGAAACTGTTTTGCGCAACATTTTAGCAATTCGGGCGATCGTGCGCATTAAGGGGCGTAGCGTTGCCGCAAGGGGTGCGGGTAGTGGCGCTCACGAGCAATGACCATATTAGTAATGCAGCAATAAAGTTAAAATAATTCCGTCTTCTTTGTTACTGCATATGTGTATACCTACATATGTATGTATGTATGTAAATACATGTGAAGTCAATATGTGGGTGCACTTCAACTTGTTTGATTCTTTGTTTGTCAATAATGATTTGCTGGCGGCAGAGCAATGAGGCGTTGCAAGAACAAGTGGTATTCCAACAAATATAATATGCATTTTGTGTAGTATATGTATTACAAAACTTATGTAATAGTTTTCAATCAATGCCGAACGTAGAATATGAGCTACAATACATAATTGTTAGATCCATCCCTGTAGGAAAATTTACAACTTATATAAGCTGAGGTCAATAAAATGGTTTGAAGAGGCTGCAATTTTTTTTTTACCATAATAAAATATGTCAGACTTATAACAAAATTGTTTTGTTTAGAGCCACATCTAGGGAAAAAACTTAAAAAATTAAAATAATACTGTAACAATTCTTTTGAAATTCTAACGTAAAGATAATAATTTGAAAAAAAAATGTAATATATTTCGAGTTACACGCGATCTTTGACAGCGCTAAAAACAGTTTATCCGGCAGTGGTTCCGAACTTCTTCGTGGATGAAACCTAAGAAAATGCTCTTTAGAGGATATTGTCACGACCTAAGCTCAGAAAAAATCAAAAAAATCGAAAATGGCGGCATTTACAAAAATTTTATTTTGAAATTTTGCTCGTTATTGGCCTGCTATAATTCGATTTTTGGTATGCTCACAAAACCGATAATATCATTATATGGAGATCCATATATAGAACATGCAGACAAAATTTGTATCTCAGTAATCACTGTAGTAAATTCAAAAAATAAACTATAATACTTGTAAACTCATTGAACTGAGCGGCTACACTTTAGAAGCCTGTAAATCAAAAAATAGGTATTCCAAATAATCTTTTAAATTTTAGCATGGAATTTTTAAAGATATAAACTATCGAAATATGTAAAAAATAAATAATTTTTTTTTTTCGAAATTTCACACTAGGTGGGGCACTAGGGTCGATTGAGTTAAAACTTTTTTATATTACTTCTATTTTTACATCTATTTGTATTGTTATCAATTTTGAAGCAACCTACTAAACGTTTAATTATTTCTTTTGAGAAAAAAAATCGCAATGGGAATCGCACCACCTTAGTAAACACTTTCACACATTTTAGCTATTTATCAAATCTCCATATTCCTACAGGGGTATTAAAGACACTTAGATACATATGAACAAATGAATGTGTGAAATAGAGCTGGCACGTTCATTGAAGCCGCATTTTTATGGCAATGCGCTTCTTTATTGTCAGCATAATAATGTGATATACATACGATGATCGCGTTGTTATACTCGTAATATCTTTTTATTTAACGATTATTAGTATTTTCAATGACCACAAATAATGTATATAAAGTGAGTATATATACATACATACGTATAAATGATCAGCGTGGACTTAGTACATAAGTCGATTTTGCCATGCCCACCTGTCTACCCCTCTGTATATATGCGAACTAGTCCCTTAGTTTTTGAGATATTGATCTAAAACTCACATGACCTTTTCTCCCCAAGAAGCTGCTCATTTGTCGAAATCACCGATATCAGACCACTATAGAATGTAGCTGTCATACAAACTGACCGATCAATTTCAAGTTCTTCTATTGAAAACGTTTTTCTTTAGTAAGATATCTTTACAAAATTCGACATATACCAATAGTGCCTTTGACATGCAAACCAAGCCGGTTTGTAATTCTTTCAATCATAAATGTCAAACAAATTTGAACACCTTGACTACTGATTTGACAAGATTCATCTTGGAATTACCATACTGCTAAAGACACGCCCAAAACAATAATTAACGGCTTCTTAAATAGTCATGGGCATGCTCTCCTGAGAGTTTCTCCGCTAAGTACTGCGTTGATATTGATCTGACAAACGAATCCGCTAGCTTTGAATGCAAATCTTAAAGAAATAGGCTTTTCATGTCAAATTGGCATCACCTTTAGAATATATTGCTATTATTAATATACTCGTATATCTAATATGTTATTAATAATATGATATGCGCGTTGTTACGATTCAGTTATCATACAACTAATAAGATTAACATCGATTGGAAAAAGGGTAAAAATTAACAACTGCCAGTGAAAAGAGAAAACAGAAACTTCTGAAAACATTTGATAAAAATCTTAAACAAATACATAATTAGCAAATTATCTGTTAGCCCTAAATATTTATTTACAAATAGAGAAACCACAATAACAAACAATTGCTGAATTGCCATGTTAAGAAAATTTTTAAACTGGTGTTGAACATGTTTTTGGAGCATTTTCAATAGGAGAACCGCTAAACTTTTGATTGATAAGTTAGAGCAGTTTCGAGTCAGATAGGGAATAAGAGAAATCAAAAAAAAAATGTATAACGCAATATAGATCAGAGTTTGGATTCACTTGATATCACAATTAAGAACCTTTACTTATTTTTCAAAGCTAAACATTTGGCAACTCTGCCAAAATCACCTATTGACTTTAAGTAAATATTAGCTTCACCAAATACTAGGAGTATGCATATGAATACACATTTGTAATGATCACAGTTTCTATTTATTCTCGCTTCTTGCTTATCTAAGCGAAAATTTAATCAAATCTTATCTTCACGCTAACACGCCTTCTCTCACAAACGACAACTTCGGCACTTTTGTAAGAGTAAAAGCTAAAACAGTAGGCGTGATTCCCCAACGACCTCGTCATTTTCCTGCTCGAAGGTGTTAATTGAGTTGTAAACTAAAATTTGCATGTTCCATTAAATACGAAATATTACTATTCCCAAGCGGTTAGTCGCCAACGGACAACACAAGCTGTTGAGGTGCGTGACTAATGAGCTCCAGCAACAATTTAGCAAAAGTCTTCAAGTGCAAACAAATCGTTTAACATTAAAACGGCGAAAAAACGAATTTTAATTTCGGACAATTGTGGGTTTTGTGTATGTTTTTGTTTTTGGTGTCATTCAAATTGGACTTATTTGCTTTACGGCCGATTTGAATTTACTCGCCGTTTATCACTTGCATTTTAAGGTAAATAACTGTCACATAATGAAATGTATTAAGAGTAGCTAAATGCCGAGCTTGACTCAGCGGAAGCTCAGAATCGTAGCTTTCAAGTCGCTCATAGACAGTCGAAAGCGTCGGAGTTGGATTTAGCGCCTTGCGGGTGTATTCACTAGTGATCTTTTCTAAATTTGTTGTTGTGTTATTGTTAAAATAATCTACCTTCGGGAAGTTTAATCATAAGAAGCAGTGATGCGACATGGATCCCGACAATGAGTTGATTATTTTCTATGAGAAACGCTTTCATTGGAACCAAGCGAAACTCTTCAAAGGATACTCCATGGATTTGTATGAATGTTGAATGACGAAATGCATTATATTCTTACGCATAAATGCTATATCCAAAAAAACAGTTAATTGAAAGGTCCCATATTAATTTTAGTTATTTTGCAGATCATGTAAGTCCAACCCAGCGAACGGACATCTTCGACCGCGAATGTCACTCATAGGGAAGCCGCTGACCTACAATCGCGGCACACGCCGTGACGCCCGTTATAGGCGGTTACAAAGTCGTGTATATAATTTTTTAGAGCGACCGCGGGGCCTGCCTGCGGTTTTGTATCACATCATGGTGTAAGTATTGTCATAATTCAATTAAATCACTTTTTGGTTCATTTTATGTATTTCATTATAATTTGGTTGGCATTTTCCTTGCCAAGCGTCATGCTTTGAATAAATTACGCTATTCCGTTAATGAAATTTTATTGCTATATCAATGAAAACTTATATACTCGCACATCGTACATATGGTATACTAAAGCTCTTACATGAGTACTGTGTAAATAGACCGCATAACGTTGCGCAAGTCTCTAAAGTATTTTCGTATAAAATTATATTTTTTATCTTCTCTCATTTCATAGGTTTTTTATGGTATTCACTTGCTTAGCTCTAAGCGTCTTCTCCACGATCGAAGAGTACGAGAAAGATGCAATTTATATACTATTTCGTATGGAGATATTAGTAGTAATATGGTTTTCATTGGAGTTCTGTTTCAGGTGAGTCAATATTTTTAATGAAAATTTACAAGCAATTATATATTGAGTATCACAGGCAGCATCTAACTAAGTAATTGAGTGAATATGTTATTCAACTTTTCCATCAATTTTTAAAAGAATATGACAAAATCGGTATTCTTATATCCCATATAAAAACAAATTTTTTTTTTTATAATGTACATAACCATATTCTGACATGAAAATCATCTTTCAACGTCTATTGGCTTAGATTCATATGGCACCCAAGTTCCGTGCTTTTGAATGTATCCGACTGCTTTTAAATGATTTGAAATGGATGCTTGAGTGACTCCCAAAGCTTATGCGATCTCTTTCTGTGTTTGGAAACTATATTTATCTAGTAATGCTTCCAATTCTTCATCTTCAAATTTGTTTGGCGTTCTTCGACTGCCAAGCCAAAATCAAAATTTTTAAATCGTGCAAGCCTTTTTTGCACTTTTGGCACGCTCCATCAGGTAGAGCATGTTCACCCTAAAAATCCACTAAAATCCACAAGGGCAGTAGCCTTCCAACGCATGTTCGGAATATTGGAACATTGGATAATAATCAAGTTAGGCCATCTGTTGGCAAACCGAATATAGTTATAGATGTTATATATTATATTAGAGTGGTAATAACTATTATTTTAAGATCCAAAATAAATGCTTAAAGTGTGCAATTTAGTTTTGCTTGCGAAAATAATTTTATTGTAGGGTATACGTT